ATGAAATAATATTACACTTTTAAAACAAAATTCCTTATTATTTACATTTTTTAAACATTTATTCTTTATTATCTAAACATGTAATAATTTGATTAATTAAAAACATTAGTTGGTATAAAAGTATTTAAAAATAATATAATATTTCATTTATTCATGTAGCAAAAAATTAAAGAAAGTATATTTTCTAATTCTTAACTAATCTAATCATTAAATATGAAAATGAATTTATTTTTATTTGTTGTTTTTATAATTAGAATTTTTTAAATATGCTTAATCAGCTAATAAAATATTGTATTTGTAAATTATAATTATTTCTTAAACTTATGAAGATTCTATCATTGCTTTATTGAATAACAAAATTATTTTTAGTAAAAGTATTTAAAATCAATGTAACTCATAAGAATGAATTATATCTACATGTTTATTATCCAATTGATAATTCATAATAAATAAATTTAAAATATTTATCATAACTAAATTGAAGTTTTTATAAAAATCGCTCTTTCTTTATCATTTAAAATGAGAAATAATACTATGTGTTCAATGTTTTTATTAATTATATTTTTTGGTAATAATCTAATTTATTTTTAGATTTTCAAATAATTTAATTATTATTATTTTTTATTCCTTCTATTTCCTTATAACAACATATATTATATTATTTTTTCTTTGATTATTAAGTTATTAATATAATTTCTAATAACACTCTTTCTATATACTGTTTAAAATTAATTTTTCTTTTTAAAGAGCAATTTATTTTTATGTTTTATTTCTTTGAAAAGAAAGGTATGACTTATTCATTCTCAAAAATATACAAATAAATATTTATTTTTCAATATTTCATATATTTATCTTTATATAACCGATGGTAATGTAATTTACAAACTTGATAAAAAGGTTATTTTTCTTATTTATGAACATTTTATTTGATTTTTAAGGCAAAATACTTTAATAATATTCTATTTTATTTATAGTACTAGAGATTTTATTTAATTGTTATTTATAGACTTAGATGCATGTTTGAAGCAACTAGATTTAATAATAATTTCAACAACTGTTATTATATCATTTCTATAATTATTTTGATTAAATAAATAATTCATTTTGGTTGTAGTATTTTAATTAAATGTTTATATAATAAGAATATATTATTTCCTTATTAACGATAATTTATATATAAACATCATTTTGTTGTATATATACCAATAAGAAATAAGAAATATGATTATAACAAAAAGTTACTAATGAGTGGTTAACAAGTTGGTTATTAAATAATTAGGTTTTATGTTATTATCAAATCATTTAGATAAAAATTCAAGCAAAATTGTTAAATGAAGAAAAGAATAAATAAAAACTTAAATAAATAGTCATGTATAAATATGTTTAGATAAATATCATATCACATTAATACCTTAAAACAGTATTTTATCTAATTAATAAAAAGAATGGTTGGTTATATTTTTTGAAGACAATTTGATAGATTAATACAGTTAACATCATTATTGTCTAAACTTTAATTAATTAATAACATTCGTAGTAATTAAAACAACTTACCTCTTTAAACCAAAATCATTATTTTTTGGTTTAATATCAATTTAAAAAAAAATGTTATATATTCTAAGATTCATCTATAATTACATAAAATGGATGTTTTTCTAAGAGAAAGAATCTTCTAAAGAAAAACAGAATTAGAAAAAAACAATGAACGACTCACTGACTCCAATAATCCCTATCATTACTACGTTCAATCTTAAAAGTTGTCTTTTTACTCCAAACAATAAATGTGGGTATTATTTTATTGACAATAATGAGCATAAACTCTATTATTCCATACCTACTGTTCCTTATATTTATTGTATTGAAACTAAACTCAATGATGTAATTATGACCTACTGTGTTATTAAAAATACTATTGCTTATACTTTAATAAATCAACCAAAAAAAATTCTTTTACTAACAAAAGAAGGAAATAAAAAGGTTTTTGAATGTAATGAATCTATTATTGCTCTTGACAGTTATCAAAAATATGTTATTGCAATTAGCTCAAACTATCTTTTTTATCTTGATACTAATGAAGATAGATTGAGAAGTACAAAACATCGTCCATTAACTGGATGGAAATGGATTGGTGATTGTGTAATAACATTAACCCAAATGAAAAAAAGTATTATTTATGAAACATATCAATTATGTGAAGCATTACATCTTATTCAATCATTAACAATACCAACGACTTCAAAAGAAAAAATATCTTTTGATGTAATTAAAATTCGAGAAAGTTCATGGATATTTTCTTATCAAGGAAATAATAAAATTGCTCATCTTATTGAAATTGGTCCACAATTAAAACGTGTATTAGAACTTCATGTTCCTGTTAATAATTATGCACAAGTAGCAGTTACTGGAGATTTATTATTAATTATGATTAATTCTATTGGAGTATTATATGAAATAAATAATACAGCAAATAAAATTGCTATTGTTAAACTCCCTCCTTTTTCGTTAAATAATCTTAGGATTAATCATAATCAATTTATTAATTTTAATGAACAAACTATCACAACGTTAAAAGCAGACTTTGCTTTATTATCACAAAGTCTTCTTCCAGCAGAACGATATTCATTTTTACTAAGACATTCAGCTCCACAACGTGTTCTCCAAAAAGCATTATTATCAATTTTTAATGATTTTGCTAAAGGTAATATTGATTTTGAAACATTAAAAGATATTTTTACTATTTCTTCAGAGTCATCTGCTATATCATCTGCTTTAGTAGATTGGAGACCTGAACCACAAGTATATTGTTATGTTATGATTGAATTTATATGTTCTAATAAAACAAAAATACCACCTCCAGTGTATTGTCGGTTGATAGAATCATTAATTAATGATGGACAAACTTCAAGACTATTAATGTTACTTCAATACCACATTATTCCTGATGACGAAATTGTAGCATTACAATTAGTTAGTATGAGAGAAAAATGTGATTTTGCATATCAATTTGCGATGGATATGTTAAAAAGAATGAATAAAAATAATAATCAAATATTACAAATATTAATTGCAATTGGAGACTATGCAGAAGCATTAATATTTTGTATAAGTCATAAAGTTCAATTATCAAATCATGATATTACTAGTTTATTATCTCAAGTAAAAAACCCAGTTTTATTATTCCAATTGAACCAATATTTGCAAAATAAGAATACCAATTAATTTGTACGTTTTTTAATTTACTCTATTTTTCTTCTTTTTCTTTAATTTAAAACCATTCAACTTCTTCTTTTCAAAAATTAAATAAATTAGTAAAAAAAAATGAAGAATAAAACTAATCAACCATATTATGCTATTCGAGAGATTTGATGTAAAAGTTCAGTTCCATTTAACATTTCAGTTGTAGCATAAATAATTCTTTTATTTGATTTTTTTGCAAATTGACATATATTAGT